TGGGGAAAACTGATTCGCTTTCCGATAATTTTGGTTTACGATGAGCTCTCAGGAACGGATTAATATCGCGAACCGGGGGTCCACTGTATTTTTGCGGGTCTGAAATGAACTAATCTAATTTACATTATTCCTTATGGGTACAAATTCATTCAGTAATGGCACTCGAACAGCCTTCTGGAATGAATTTTATACGAAACTCGGGGGACCACTGTACATGTATATTAAACAAAGTGGTTTCAGTGTAGTATCTGAAGTGAAAATCTACTGATCAGATACAAACTTAAATTGCTGGTGTATCTTACATAAAATTTGGAATGGTTTATGGCTTTGTAGGAACCAACTTGCTGGATAAGTTGAAGAAATTGGATAAATAGAAATACAGTGGAGCCCTGACATTCGATGGCATTGACATTCGATGCATTTTAACGCAAAAATTTTGCCTCGACATTCGATGGAAAACCCGACGTTCGATACAATTTGTACGAGACGTGTCCACATGTGGCCTGAACTGCCCCGTGTGTGCCAGTTTACAAGCCAGCCAGTGTGTGTGCGCATCTAAGGATACATTCGGTACATTCCATATTATCCATATTATCACTGTTTTTGGCGCTTGTTTCTGCAAAATAAGTAACCATGGGCCCAAAGAAAGCTTCTAGTGCCAACCCTTCGAGAAAAAACGTGCTAATGACTATTGAAATGAAGAAAGAGATAATTCCAAAGTACGAAAGTGGAGTGCATGTGTCGGAGTGCGTGATGATTTGATAAAGAAATTGCCTGCAACTAGTGGTGATGTGAGCGAATTTAAGGCCAGCAAAGGTTGGTTTGAAAGATTTAAGAATCGTAGTGGCATACACAGTGTGGTAAGGCATGGTGAGGCTGCCAGTTCAAGTCCTAATGGAAGGGGATTCCCCTTCTAAACACTAACACCATCCACACTCTCCCCTCCTCCCATCTCATCAATCATCACCAGACCTTCATTAAAGGTAAGTGTCAATTATTCTATTGTTATTAATCTATTGTTATTGGTTTTATTGTAATTATTCTATTACATTAAACTTAATATTTCATGTGGTAAATTTTTTTTTTCATACTTTTGGGTGTCTTGCACGGATTAATTTGATTTCCATTATTTCTTACGGGGAAAATTAATTCGACTTTCGATATTTTCGACATTCGATGGCTCTAAGGAACGGATTAATATTGAATGTCAGGGGTCCACTGTATGTACAACTATAATGACTACAGGTCTCCCTCCACATTTGCGGGGGTTAGGGGATCAAGAATCTCGCGAATGTTTGGTGCACAAATATATTGTAGGGATATATAATAATAGCATTTATTTAGCCTGACAATAGTGCTTCCATAACCTACTGAACCATGAACAATCATAAAACACGAAAAAATCGTAAAATATTGTACTATTGCCAGCCTTTTGGTAAAGAAGGTGAGAAAGACTAGAATTCAAGAAAGAACTCATAGCAGAGTACCAAAGTGGAGGAGGAAGAGAGAGGGGAGAATGTGCCTTCTTCAGTGATTCTATGATATGTACAATACTAAAGCCAGCGATAAAGTGTAGCATTAACAATGTAGCAAGTAAGTTAGGCTATTAATCCATAGAAAAAGGACAGCACGAACCTAACTCCAATGTTGTTGGAGGTATATAGGGCTACTGCGAACACTGCCACCTCAGCTGGCCTTCACCACCACTATGTACAGCTTATGCTCTCAGTGGCCCTTATACACCCAACAACAACACAACACCACATGTTATTAATATTGTTATTAACATTAATAATGAGTGGTTATTACTGTTATTAATATTGTTATGGCTATTACAGGTCCTCCATCACAAATCCGGCATCATTGGGACCTGTAGTGTGCCGGATTACTGAGTTTGCCAGATTACAGAGTGGTTAGGTTAGAATACACTTAATAAAATTAACCAACCTGACTTACCTGGAGTTTACCTGGAGAGAGTTCCGGGGTTCAACGCCCCCGAGGCCCGGTCTGTGACCAGGCCTCCTGGTGGATCAGAGCCTGATCAACCAGGCTGTTACTGCTGGCTGCACGCAAACCAACGTACGAGCCACAGCCCGGCTGATCAGGAACCGACTTCAGGTGCTTGTCCAGTGCCAGCTTGAAGACTGCCAGGGGTCTGTTGGTAATCCCCCTTATGTATGCTGGGAGGCGGTTGAACAGTCTCGGGCCCCAGACACTTAATGTATGATCTCTTAACGTGCTAGTGACACCCCTGCTTTTCATTGGGGGGATGTTGCATCGTCTGCCAAGTCTTTTGCTTTCGTAGTGAGTGATTTTCATGTGCAAGTTCGGTACTAGTCCCTCTAGGATTTTCCAGGTGTATATAATCATGTATCTCTCCCGCCTGCATTCCAGGGAATACAGGTTCAGGAACCTCAAGCGCTCCCAGTAATTGAGGTGTTTTATCTCCGTTATGCGCGCCGTGAAGGTTCTCTGTACATTTTCTAGGTCAGCAATTTCACCTGCCTTGAAAGGTGCTGTTAGTGTGCAGCAATATTCCAGCCTAGATAGAACAAGTGACCTGAAGAGTGTCATCATGGGCTTGGCATCCCTCGTTTTGAAGGTTCTCATTATCCATCCTGTCATTTTTCTACACAAAGTTCATTGAACATTGGCAAAGATTGAACATTTCCGCTACTTTGAGCTCAATTTCAAGGTACTTTTCGTCATGAAAGCAATCAAAATCATGTCTATTTCTGTAATATATGTTCCATTCTATCAAATGAGACCAAAAAACAAGAATACAACCATAAAAACCATACGAAAATATACCACAAAGAGGCGCTAATGGCTGAGAAGTGAACTCCCTTATTTATCGTCCATCTTTTTTATTTTTGGTGCATGTTAAGAAGCATCTTTCCATCATACACTGCCCAAGTTTCAATGAGATAGCCCAACAAATAACTGAGAAAAAAACAATATTTACCAAAAATCATGGCAAGCCCAAGCCAAGTACTGGAAATAAGCCACTTTGTCTGACTTTTTTGGATTATCCTAGGTTCTCTATACATACACTGCTATGTATGATAATCTAAGTAACTGTATTTGTGTATAGTACCTGAATAAACTTACTTCTAGTCTGTCGACTGAGTACAAGAAACCGCCCAATAAAGTGGTCAGAAATTGGCAATTTGGCCAATTTCACAGATGCCAATTTCAAAATAGGGTCCAGAATAGACAATACAGACATTCCTGGCACTAAAATAACATCTTCTCTGTTCATTAGTCATGACTCCAGGCCCCTCTTATATTACTCTTGCTTACCATTTGGAATTTTTATTCACACAAAAAATAGAAGATTTACTGTAATGCAGACTACTGCATTATTGTAACTGTATAAATAATGTCAACCCATTCTTGACTCCATACTGGAATTTGGACTGGCAGGCGGACAGGTATTGGACGGTGATGCCATTTGTTTACTTGAGCACTGCTAAAGAATAGAACTTTTCTGCTACTGTGAGCGCAATTTCAAGGTACTTTTCGTCATGAAAGCAATCAAAATCATATCTATTTCTGTAATATATTTTCCATTCTATCAAATGAGACTGAAAAAACGAGAATATAACCATAAAAACCATACAAAAATATACCGCTAAGCGGCCGCTAATGGATGAGAAGTGAACCCCGCTATTTATGATCTGATTTCTTTCATTTTTGGTGTACATTAAAAAGTATCTTTCCATCATACATTGCCCAAGTTTCAATAAGATAACCCGACAAACAAATGAGAAAATAACAATAATAATAATAATAATAATAATTTACTACATGTACATGTACATGGGATACAGACATAGCTGACATCAGTGACATACTACTATATAGAAAGCCACTTGTTATGCAGAGTATTTCAAGTAATTTAGGTCAGTGTCCCAGGATAACACCCACACCAGTCGACTAATGCCCAAGCCAGGTACTAGAAATAAGCCATGTTGTCTGACTTTTTTGGGTTATCCTAGGTTCTCGACACATATGCTGCTATGTGTGGTAATCTATATAGAGAAAATAGCTTTTTTGTTTCAGGTTTATGGTGCAGTACGAGTGTATATCACAGTTAGCCCTGTGTACACTCTATTTTCTCTAATATAAGCTCCCAAGACAGGGACAGGAGGATGGTATTTGTATACCATATCCTCTTCATAATTCTGTCGAACTGCCCGGTGTTATGCCAAATATTATTTATTCTGGAGTATTTAACATGTTTTATGTTATTTATATTGTTTATTATGTAATATTAGATCAATTGTGATAGGCAATATGCTGTAGTGTTGATATTAGCGTAATAATAAAGCATATTCTCCTGCATCACGAGACTGAGCTCATAGCAACCGAGAGTGGCTTCAAAGCCACCTTATCTTTAATGGACAATGAAAAGCATTTCTTTTATTCTTTGGAACCATGGCTAGGGCTAAAAGTAAGCAGGTTATAACAATAAATGGAGAAAGAGAAATTAGAATGGTTTATGCAGCAAGTAGCACCACCAAACAGTACCAGCAGGTTCGTGTGGTGACCCTGGAAATTTGAAATTATGCTAGCCGAAATTAGTGCCAAATAACTGAAGGAACCGAATAAGTGATTGCCGGATTTGTGATGGCGGACCAGTATTAATATTGTTTATTATGTAATATTAGATCAATTCTGATAGATAAATAAACAGTAGAGTTGATATCAGTGTCATATTGAAGGACTATCTTGTCCTGCCTCCAAACAAACTCTGCCGCCACCACAATTCCTAACATACATAATGACATACATGTATTTTAAATATGATTGGGCGGCTGGGCATTTGCGAATGCTCGAAGCCAGCGAAAGTGGAACTCGCGAATGTGGAGGGAGACCTGTAGCTATTTATGTTAATGTACAATGGCGAAATTCAGCTGCATTATTTTTTGAAAGGGATTCAACTGGCATATAAACACTAGGTAGGTAGTAGCATAATGGAAATGGGAGTGACCTACCTGGAAATCAAATAGAGGGAAATTGCAGACCCGGAAAGGTATACCAATAAATGCCATTGATGTATACTTGGTGTTGATGATGTGCTTGTATAGAGGCTTAACAACGTTGTCTTCTACGGTAATACCGCACTCCTCCGACAAGAAGGGGAAGGCAAACAGGTACCCTAGAGAAAGAAAAAAAAAATATGTACTCATTCCTGCTGTATTTAAGAGTCATGTTCTTATTGACCATAGAATTAAAAATGAAAGTGAATACACTATATATTTTCTATATAGTATTTTCTATATATTTCATCACCCCTTTTCTGTATGTAAAACTATAGTTTAATCTATAATAATAATAATAATAATAATAAGTTTATTTCTTTGTAAAGGTTACAATGTGTATTTACAATTCTGATTTCCTAAGTACAAAGATAGCCACTATCATGCCAAGGCATTTCGGGCAAACTAATCCTAATACATAGTAACTAATTAAAACTAGAGAAGATAATAGTACATAATAATTATTACTTAAAACTAAACATAGAATAGTGGTTAGCTGTTTTAAAATCTTATTTGGACTTAATAAATCTTATGTATACTTAGTACAAAATCTAATTTACAAAAAATGGTGCAGGTGGTAATATTCTATGAAATGGCAGAATTAAAAGCCAGGAGGTCACATGATAAAACTACCAGTAGATGTTTGGTTGATTTGGTTAATATTGTGAGATAAGACGATTTTTTAGCCGAGTCCTAAATTTATAAGTTGTCTGGGGATCCTTGACTTGTTCCGGTAGCGAGTTCCAGATCTTTGGGCCTTTTATTTGCACAGCGTTCTTGCATAATGAGAGTTTTACTTGAGGGATGTTGAAAAGGGCTTTATGCCTTGTATTGTGACTGTGCATTCTGTTGTAACTGTCGAGGAGTAGTTTTAGGGGAGGGTTTACAGTGGAGTTTAAAGTTCTGTATATATAGTACACACAATATTAGGAGTGTATGTCTTGTATATTTAGCAAGTTGAGTCTTTTGAAAAGTGGTGGGGTGTGCTGTCTAGCACAGGAGCTGGTTATCACCCGCACAGCAGCTTTTTGTTGGATTATCAAGGGTCTAAGGTGGTTGGCTGTGGTTGAGCCTCAGGCACAGATACCATAGGTGAGGTAAGGATATATTAGAGAGAGTGGTACAGGGTAAGGAGAGTCGTTTGTGGTACATAGTAGCGTATCTTAGAAAGGATTCCTACTGATTTGGAAATTTTCTTGGCTATGTGATGGGTATGGGACTGAAATTTAAGATTACAGTCAAGGAGAAGACCTAGAAATTTGCCCTCCGTGTGTCTTGATATAGGGGAACCATTTAACAGTATGTTGAGTTGAATATTTGAGGCTCTGTTGCCAAACAGCATGAAGTAAGTTTTTTCTATGTTGAGTGTGAGTTTGTGGTCATCATCCAAGCATATATCTTAAGAAGTTCATTGTTTACAGTGTTTTCAAGCACAGCTGGGTCTGAATGGGAGTAGACATATGTAGTGTCATCTGCAAATAGAACTGGTGTAAGGAGTTGAGATGCATTGGGGAGATCATTGATATACATGAGAAAGAGGAGTGGGCCTAGGACACTACCTTGGGGTACTCTACGGCTGCAGGTTCGATAGCGGAGTTGACTCCATTTGCATGTACATACTGGTGTCTGTCGTTAAGATAGGATTTTAGGTAAAGAGAATGTCCTCTTATGCCATAATGATTCAGTTTGAGGTGCAAGAGATTGTGGTCAACTGTGTCAAACGCTTTTCTTAGGTCAATAAAGAGCCCCAAGGGATATTCATTCTCATCGAGAGCTGTGTCAAGCATTTGTATAATTGCATCATTCGTGCTTTTTTTTGGTCTAAACCCAAACTGGCATGGGTTAAGTATGTTGTTGGATGTAAGGTAGGAGTAAAGTCGCTGGTGTATTATTTTTTCAAATATCTTGGATAGTAAGGGCAAGTTTGATATGGGTCTGTAACTGTTCAAATCAGTTGGATCTCCACCTTTGTGGATCGGGGTGACCCTTGCTGTCTTGAGTATGGATGGGAAGGTTGAGGAAGCTATAGATTTGTTAAACATTGTTGCAATAATGGGCAACAGTTCTGGTGCAGCTTTTTTATATATGAATGGTGGCAAGTTGTCTAGATCACCTGATTTGGTTTTTAATGATTTAATGATGAGTGAAATTTCAGTGGGATTAGTTGGAGCTAGAAATAGAGTATTTGGATAGTTGCCAGGGAGGTACTCGCTCGGATGTATATTTGAACTAGGAATTTGACTCGCTAGCTTTGATCCTACGGTAGAGAAGAAGACATTAAATTTGTCGGCCGTGTCTATAGGTTGCACGTGAGATTCATCTGGTTTAGTTAAGTCTATCTCTCTATTTCCAGTCGGTTTCCTTGAGCCCAAAATTTTGGAGAGGGTTTGCTAGGTACTTTTCATGTCACCTTTAATTTCACTAAATCTATTTTCATAATACATTTGCTTCAATTCACGTATTAGTTTTGTTAGTATTGATGTGTATCTTTTAGTAAATTCTTTAGTAATTAAGCCTAATCTGAACTGCTTTTCAAGTTGATGTTTTTTATTAATAGATTTGAAGATACTTCTAGTTAGCCATGGGCTGTTTAGCCTCTTTTCTGTGATCTGTTTCGTTTTGATTGGGCAATGTTTGTTGTAGAGGTTTAGGGTTTTACGTAAACAATTTTTGATATCTTTATCAATATTATTACTGTCATCTATCTCTCTCTGCCAATCAATGGCACCTAGAGCTAGTTTTAGGTTGTTTATCGATGTTTCATCAAGCAGGCAAAATGAGATCATCCTTGTTTCTTGAGGCAGTTTAGATAAGTTGGTTATGAGGAAGGTAGGATAGTGGTCCGTGGTGTTATCTGTGATTATACCTGCTTGTAGTGGGGATATTTTGTTGGTCCAGATATGGATGAGTAATGAGGCACTAGTGTCAGAGATTCTTGTTGGCTTTGTTATAGTGGGTAGCAATAAGCTGTTGTGAAATCAACTACTGGAGGGTCGGTTGCTAGGATAAAGTTAATGTTGAAATCTCCTGCTAGTATCAGATGGTGTTTATTCAATTCTGACTCAATTATCATGTTTCTAAGGTTATTGCTAAAAGTGTAAGTGTATGAGTGTGGTAGTCTGTGGACTGCACCAACTGCTATAGATTCCTTAAGTGTCCTTGACGTGAATTTAACTAGAATTAATAAATAAATAAATAAATATATTCACCTTTTTCATCCCGTCATTATTTTTTCACACTTTAGTTCATTAGATAATAGAGGCAAGCCTCCTCCTGTTTTGGTCGGCCTACAGTTATGCAGGCTGTGAACCGGGTAGGTAAATAGTCGTTAGATCTTATCTGACCAGGTTTCGTAAATAATGGAAGTTATAGTAGCATTTAGAGATTTAAAGAGTGCAATGGGTCATCATATGTTTACTCAATGATCAACATTGTAGTTGAAGACTGAATGTTCTTGCTGACACTGAAAGGGTATCACCTGACAAACATGTAGTAATGGCAATTACTGTTTGGACTATGTGTGGAGTGGATGAAGGTGAGGAACTTGCCAGGATTACAGCAAAAAAACCACCTGGCAAAGAAAAACAAAGAAAGATTTAATGTTGCAAAAGGGGTAACTTTTTTTAACTAAACAAAGGCCACCAATTAGGAATAGATAGAAAAGTTTTTTATTATTGTTGATTTAAAGGAAAAAGAATTAGTGGGGGACAGTGTTGTGGAGTTGATATTTGGAAAAGCAAAACACTTGCATGAGGGGTCTTTCAAAGAAAAAAGGGGCAATGTTGCATTTGTGAATTTAGGGCCACAAAAGGGTGGTTTGATAGCTTTTTAAAAAGAATAGTGGCATACAAAGGTTGTAAGGCATGGTGAGGCGCAAAATTTTGACAAATGGCAGCTGAAAAATTTTCATGAAATTTCCCGGGGCGGTAAAGGGGAAGGTTCAACCCCAAAAAATGTTCAATTTTGACGAAAGGCCTGTTTTGGAAGAAAAAAGCCCAAAAAGGGCCTACATTACCCAGGAGGAAAAAGGCACTGCCAGGACAAAGCCAATGAAAGACGGCTTTCTCTTTTGTTTTGTGGAAGTAGGGAGATTTCAAAGTGAAGCCTTCTCTGATCACTAGAAAATCCCAATTTTTCAAGAACAAAAATGCTGAAGAACAGATTGCGTGTGATGTGGAAAGCTAATCATAAGGCATGGGTCACAAGGCAAATTTTCAAAGAGTGGGTTAATGATGTGTTTGGTCCAAGTGTGAAAAAATACCTCCTGGAAAAGAAATTGCCACTCAAGTGCCTCCTGGTACTGGACAATGCTCCTGCACATCCTCCAGACTTGGAAGACCAAGTGTTTAGGGACTTCAGTTTTATAAAAGTGAAGCTCTTGCCTTCTTACACCACTCCTCTCCTCCAGCCCATGGACCAGCAGGTCATTTCTAACTTCAAAAAATTCTACACAAAAGCAGTGTTTCAAAAGTGTTTTGAAGTGACCTCAGACACTCAGTTGACCCTAAGACAGTTCTGGAGGAATCACTTCACTATCCTCCATTGCATAAGCCATATAGGTAAGGCTTGGAAGGGAGTGACTTCCAAGACTTTAAACTCTGCTTGGAGAAAACTGTGGCCAGATTGTGTCCAAGAGAGGGATTTTGAAGGGTTTGAGACTCACTGTGACCCTGACCCTGCCGACCCTGTGGACTCTATTGTGGCACTCGGGTTGGAGGTGAGTGGCGAGGATGTGGAAGAGTTGGTGGAGGACCACAGGGAGGAGCTAACCACTGAAGAAATGCAAGAGCTTTGTCTCGAACAGCAACAGCCTGAAGCTGAGGAACTTGCTTCAGAGGACAAGGAAGAGGGAGTGAAGGAGGTGCCTTCTTCAGAGATTAACCCTTTCAGGGTCCGTCCCGTAGATCTACGGCTTTACATCCAGGGTCCAAACCGTAGATTTACGCCATGAGCTCAGCTCACTCTGATAAACTGTGAGTGGTACATTTGGGCCTAGATATGAGAGAATACATCTATGTGGTATGTGTGCACCACATAAAACAGATCCTGCAGCACACTGTGTATAATGAGAGAAAAAAAATGAAATCATGATTTTTCGATTAAAACAGCAACTTTGCAG